TGTCTGTGTAGAATGGTCCGTGCATGGAAAAGCGGTCGTTAAGAGCAGATGGTCGCTAAACACAGAGGTCGCTTACACCAGCTTTTACTGTAGTTCTCTTTGCGCTTTGGCTGCGTACACTTGCTTCTGAGCTCACTTCGACCCTGCTGGAGTCAAGCCTGCCAGCAGGATAGCACTTTTGGCTAGTTTTGGTCGCTGTGTGCAGGTCCGATAATGTCGCGAACCCTGCCACACATTCACACAACCCGCTCGAGCAAACGTTCCATTGTGCCCGGTTTTCTTTGTGAATAAAGGACTGAAGATATTTACAAGGGAGAGCGATAATATAGGTGAGTCGAAGTGCATGCCTATAGCAGTAGTGTACCGTGAAAGTGTCTTGCGCACAGCGTCAGCAAAAAATACACGGGCGATAATTATAATACAAATGCATCGAAATAAGCTCCCAAGGAGTCGCAAAGAAGCAAAAAGAGCACAAAGCTGTGGACCTAAACCAGCTCCACATGTGTGTAGCTGAAAAGGTGACACCAAGAGTTGATAAACAAGAGTGTGCCACAATTCCGCATCTCTTCTGCACAATCTGCAGATACCCCGGCCAATGGTGGATTTTTTTGCTGACGTCACCCTTTTCAGAAAACATGACGTGTGTCGTACAGAGCACGCGTGTTTTGCTGCAGAGCAGTGTGAGAGCACGTGCTGAGCACCGACCTCGTAATGCAAAGCCCGGCCAGGTGCGCGAGGGAAACTTCCCGAAAGACTCGCAGCGCGTGCGTCACACGGTATGACTCATGATTTCCAGATAAGATGACGTCAAAAACAATCCGCCGCGGGCCACACCATCTCGAGTTGCGCACTCTTTGTGACCCGACTACACGCACAGTGCAGCGAGTGCAATAGTGAACATGAAAATGGATAGTGAAGTCCGTCAAAGACGCTCACAGTACAGTACAGGTAACTGAAATCCGACCCCTGAGCGGTCGGTTCACATTCTAGCGGTATGTCTCTATTTCCTAGTGTTACAATCCCGTGTTGGGTCTTTGCGATGTGAGCGCACCGCTCAGGCGGTCGGAGTTCAGTTGCCGGCACTGTAGTACACACAGAACATGAAAGATGGTGGGTTCACATTCTAGCGGTATGTCTCTATTTCGTAGTGTTACAATCCCGTGTTGGGTCTTTGCGATGTGAGCGCACCGCTCAGGCGGTCGGAGTTCAGTTGCCGGCACTGTAGTACACCATTTTTTTCAAACTCAACAAGAGACAGGTAGGAGGTTCTGAGTAGCTCAGTAGATCTATCAAGTCCGTGAGGAGGAGAGTTATGAGTATTTTTGTCAAAGACACCGTTCTTTTATGCAGAAAAGACAAGAGAGAGAGAGAGTTCCGTGCAAACCATGGCGTGATCATTGTTCTTGGAAAAGCAACTGAAATACAGGTTTTACAAGCGGCAGGCATGGTATGTACGTGGTCGTTGACCATGGTTGACTTTCTGTTCACTCGGTTCATTTGTGTAGATCATTGAACTGTTGACCAACAATGAAATAATGACTGGACTGGTTTCTGTCCGTGTGTCCGTGTGTCCGTGTGTGTGTGTGTGTGTGTGTACGCGTGCGCATGTGTATGTGTGTGCATGTGCATGTGTATGTGTGTGTGGGCATGTATATGTGTGTGTATGTGTGTGCATGTGCATGTGCATGTGTGTGTATGTATGTGTGTGTGTACGTGCATGTGCGCGTGCATGCGTGTGTGTATGCGTAGGTGCACGTGTGTGTATGCATGCGTGCGTGTGTGTCTGCATGCATGCGTGTGTGTGCATGCATGCGTGCGTTGTCTTCCTACACTTTGCAGTGTTCCTCTGCTCGGAAAGTGAGCTGTCTGATTTTGACAGTAACGGAGATTCCAGTGACGATGAAGACTGGACACCGCTTGCTGCTGTGAGGCAATATTTCATGAAGCGGACGCCACCACTTATAGGTCAGTGCGTGCAGTTGCCCGTGTGTGTGTACATGTGCCCTTGCATGCGTGTGTTTGTGTGTGTGTGTGTGTGTGCGTGTGTGCATGTTTGTGTGTGTGTGTGTAAAAAAAATGAAAAATAGGGATTCACTGGCCAGAAAAAGCCACTTCAATCAGCTGTGTGGTGGATGCCAGGCTAAAATCAGTGGCGGTCAATTCATCAGCCTTGCAAGCTGTTGAATGATGTAATCCCAGCACAAGTTGCTATGTCTAACATAGCTGTTCGCTATCACCGCTTACGCAATGCGGAGGTCTGAGGTGTGTACCTTTATCCTTGCATGTGCATGTGTGTGTGTGTGTGTGTGTGTGTGTGTGTGTGTGTGTGTGTGTGTGTGTGTGTGTGTGTGTGTGTGCGCGCGCGCGCGCGGGGTGGGTGCGTGCGTGCTGTCTTGACTCTTGACTCCCGGCATTCTAACGGTTCTTGAAACAACCAACAAAAAGGCACCTATAATTTGCAGGTCATTTTACTTGCAAGGGAATAGTTTGTTCACTCAAGCAAGACAAAAATTAACGGTGAAAAGGACTCGCAGAAACCTGCAGCTGCACTTCAAGATCATGCATAAAAGTTGCAGAGATGTAGTCGGTTGATGTGTTGTGTGCGCAACTTTGAACTGTTGAGTGGGAGAGCTTGTATAGCCACGCACAAATACGTCTTGGTAACTCAAATATGGAGTGGTTCCGGTTCACGGAACGACATTGCACTTGTTACTTGAAAGGATTAGGTGACTTGAAAAGGAGTGTCACCAGAAAACCTTATTTGAGACAAGTTCTAGTTAGTTGAGACAAGTAGAGACAAGTGAAGCATGCAAAAGGGAAAAGGCAGCAAAAAAGGAGCGACAGGCTCGCTGCGCATGCTCCGGGCGGAGAGCCGCAAAACGGTGCACGCGATGCGTGCAGCAAGACATCAGCATGACGTCAACATGATGTAACACATAAACAAATAAAGACATAATGAGCGTAACGCGGATTCGTGATGCATATTCACGACACTCCCCGGGCATTGGCCGGAGAACAGAATTAACCATAATTAATAACAAGGAGAAATTTCACACAAAACATGTGGAAAGATAACTGAAGAGCATAAAGAATGCGAGAGCAATGAGAGCGAGAGGGAGTTAAACACGGCCATCGGCGATCAAATCCTGCAAGTTGGACTGAAACTTGCTGGCAGCGGCTCGTGTCGGTCTTCGTACGACTGCAACGGGAGTGCTAGTCTTCTGAGCTGGGGTAGCTGAGGATTCTGAGGAACTGCTGGTCTCCTGCGGACACAGTAGACTTACTGGCCGCTTGACGGTGCGTTTGTCCGAAGTGAGGACGGTGGCGGAGCGGATGTTGCCATCGCTGCTGGTGTGGACTTCTTGGATTCGTCCAAGGCGCCAGTGGCCGCGAGGCAATTCCTCCTTGATGAGGACAACGTCAGCAGGCTTCGGAAACGTTGAGGATCGAGTCCTTGACTGCTTGAATGATGACGTGTGGGCTTCTCGCAGACTGAGGAGGTACTCGTTCCTCCAGGCGAGCCAGAACTGATCAAGGTGTCGTTGGCCCTTCTTCCAAAGGTCCAACAGGCTGTCTGCAGAGGAATTGATAGGCTGGTAATCCGGGTCGGTTGGGTCGTTGCTGACCGTGAAGAACCCCTGTGTGGCAGACAGGCTGATAAAATGACCAGGCGTCAGGACTGTGCACTGTTCTTCGTCGACATAGACTAGCGGCCGAGAATTGACTCAACTTCTGGCAGGAGAGTGGCGAGTTGGCTGGTTGTGAGGAGGCGTCTCCCAATGGTCTTGCGCATAGAACGCTTGACAATACCCACAAGCCTTTCATACATTCCACCCATCCACGGAGAGTTGGCAACGATGAAGTGCCACTGGATTTGATGGCGGCTAATGTAGGACGTAACACTGGTGTCCACCACAATGTTGCTCCAGGCAATGTCAAGAGCGGACTTGGCCAGCTTAAATTGGGGAGCGTTGTCAGACACAACTAGCTCTGGCGTGCCACGGCGGGCGACGAAACGTCTCAATGCGAGCAGAAACTCGGCAGCTGTCATGTCGTGGACTGGCTCCAAATGAACAGCTCTGGTCACCATGCACGTGATCAGGCAGACCCATGCCTTAGCGGTTTCTAACTGTGTACGGACGAGGACTGGGCCAAAGTAGTCCAGGCCGATGTGTGAGAATGGTCGCGCTTGGGTCACTCTGGTAGAAGGTAGCGGACTCATCTGAGGTGTCTTGTATGGCGCGCCTTCGTAGCGAATGCACGTCTGACAGCGGCGCACGAGGGCCTTTACAGCTGATCTGCCTTTCGGGATCCAAAACTGATATCGGACACGGGATAGTGTGTGCGCTACGCCGCCATGCATGACCTTGAGGTGGCAATCACGTATGATCAGGTTGGCAATGGCGTGTTCCTTGGAGATCAGGACGGGAAACCTCGATTTGGAGCAGAGGTCAGCATTCTCCAGTCTTCCACGGCATCTCAGTACTCCGTTGTCGAGCACTAAGTTGAGCTTAGTTGCCAGCGGATGTTGCTTCCCACTGGAGAGAGCGGTGATAACATCTGCATAGTGTGCAGACTGGCTGTGGCTGATCCAGACTTGCTCTGCTGCTTCGATTTCTCTAGGCGTGAGAGGTCCAGATGGAGTTGGTTTCTTCCGCAGCCTACAGAGGAAACGAAAGCAAAGTGCAGACACACGCACTAAAGAGTCGAACGACGAGAAGTCGTTCACAACAATGCCATATGGGAATACATCAGATTTTTTATTTGTCTGTGAACCCTGACCAAATGGCTGACCCCCCGACCCCTTTGAGGTGACTTCCGGAGGACCCTCCGCCGGCGCAACAGTGACGGTTGCTGCAGTGGTGCCTTCAATCGGCAGGCTGGGGCCGTTCCACCAGGTGTCGCATTTTAACAAGGCTGCGGCGCTCAATCCACGGGATGGCAGGTCGGCTGGATTCAGCTTTGTCGGGACGTAGTGGTGGAGAACGTCTGGAACGGCTGCGATGGCGTTGACGCGGTTCTGCTCAAAGACGGGTAGCTTCGTGGACTTGAGCCAATGGAGTACAGTCGTTGAGTCGGTGTACAGATGAGTGGCTTGGAACTGGATGTCCAGTTGCTTGCGTAGGTACACGATAAGGCGAGATCCTAGGCTTGCCGCCATCAACTCTAACCGTGGGATCGTTTGACCCTTGACGGGAGACACCTTCGTCTTGCTGAAGATAATATGGCGCTGACTCTTATCACCGACAGTGCTTTCCAAGTACGCAACGGCAGCATAGGCGATCGCTGACGCATCGCAGAAGACATGCAACTGATACGACGGACTCTTACATGTGGGTACACCGACGTAGCGCAAGATCGGATAACTGCTAGACTCGTCAAGGTCGGCGGCTATTGGGTGCCAGCGACTGAGGACGTCGGAGGGCAGTGGGTCATCCCATGACACAGCAAGCTTCCAGATATCTTGCATAAGAACCTTCGCTCTGATGGACACGGGGGCGAACAAGCCAAGCGGGTCGAAGAAGCGAGACAGTGCCTGTAGAACCTGGCGTTTCGTAGTGACAACAAGGTTAGCTGCATTAGGCGACTGTACGGACAAGACGTCCTCTCTGGGGTCCCAATGGAGACCAAGGCATTTCTCGCGAGTGCTTCTTGAGCGATCGTGTTCTGGGATCTTGTCCAAAACTTCGGAAGAGTTCGATGCCCACTCTCTAAGGTTCATGCTGATTGCGGAGAACGTCGCCTTTGCTGATTGATAGTGAGCGACAGCATCGTTGATGGTGTCCTTGCCCAGGATGATGTTGTCTACGTACGTGTTTCGGAGAATGTCGTCTGTCTCCGGTGAACAGGTCTGCGTGAGGTGGTACTTGATCGTTGCAGACAGCAAGAAAGGGCTGGAAACAACACCGAAAGGGACTCTACAGAAACGCAGAGTTTGGAGATTGCTGTAGTTGACTGGTTGGTTGGGGTCATCCAACCACAAGAAACGAGTGACATCACGATCGGCTACGTTCAAATTCATCTGTAAGAACGCTTTCTCGATGTCACTACAGACGGCAATAGGGTGCATGCGGAAACGCAGGAGAATGCCGCAGAGATCAGGGATCATGCACGGCCCAGGATACAGACAATCATTGAGACTGGGCGAAGTCTTCGATACACGAGCGGATGCGTCGTACACGACACGGATCTTAGTGGTGCTGCTGGACAGCTTGAGCACACAGTGATGTGGCAAGTAGTGGATTGGATGCGAGTTGTCTCTCTGGCTGGGAAAAGCAACGCGTTCGATGATACCAAGTGACAGTTGCTCTTCAAGTACCTTGCTGTACTTGACGAAGGTATCAGGCTCGTGACGGAGACGTTTAATGAGTGACTTCAAACGTCCAAAAGCAAGTGGAAAGTTGTTTTCCAAAGGCGGATGTTGTTGTCGCCAAGGCCACCCGACGGTGTACCGTCCGTCCTCAAACACGACCGATTGGAGGAAGTCGTCATACGCATGATCGTTGCTGGGGCGTGTCGCACTGAGAGAGTCGAAATCTTCAACAGCCCAGAAGCGCTCAAGGTCAAACGAGGGATCTTCTCGTCGATGACTTGCTACGGCTAAGGTGGTGTTGGTCTCGATTACCGAACAGGCGTGCTCAGTTGCTACTGTTCCGGCGCAAACGAAACCAAGTGACGAGTCCAAAAGCTGCAGGCCATCGGGAAAGGAGATGCGGTCTGTGCCCAGGATCTTGTAGTAGTGATCAAGACCAATGAGGATGTCGATACACAGGCGATCGTTGGATGACGTGAGCGGCTCCGCAAGAGGAAGGGTGTTGAGGCTCGGGTGTCTGTTGGTGTCCAAGGGGACGCGCCATATCGGTGAAGTGATTTGGGGAATCACATTGGCGGACAGCGGAAGGATTGAGCCATTCTTCAGTTTGAGATTGACTTCGACGCGTGGGTACTGAGACGTGTTCCTCGAT